CATTGGAATAAGGCTAAGCTTAGTTTGATTGCAAGTTACTTGCCCTTGAAATTACCTAAAATTAGCAAAGAGATTTTTATTCAAGGGCAGATAATGAAATTATGAGATGGTTTAGCTTCCATTTTTTGTTTCTTTTGACTTTTCGTAAATCAAGTAAAAATGCTTTTAAAAAATAAATCTGGGAATTAATTATGAGCATGTTTCAATATGAATCGGATGCTTCAAAACAGTTTCATAACTAAATGGGTTTTTGTCACAAAACCATATGTCTCCCAAAACTATGCATGGTCACTTATGTGAAGTTTCATTGAAATCCCACCAGTAACTTGACCTGTGAAAGTCGGACAATATTTTTTTATTTATAGCTCTGACGACCATTTTTGCGGCGAAGCGAAACGTGCTGGTGATGTGTGCATGCACAACTAGGGATGGTACTGCTCTCTCCTGTAAAGTTTAGTTGATATTCAACCAGTAGTCGGACCAGTGAAGACCGGGCAAGATATTTCTGTTTTTAGCTCTGGCGGCCATTTTGTGCAGCGAAGCGAAACGTGACGGTGATGTCCACAACTTGGGATGGTACTGATTACTCATGTAAAGTTAAGTTGCAATCCCACCTGTAGTTAGCCCTGTGAAGGATGGACAAGCTAAATGTCGACGAACGGACAGACAGTTGGCGAAAGCAAATACAATATGTCTCCCAAAACTTTTCTTCATGCTGATATGTTAAAGAAACATGTATTTGTGCTATTTTATACTAATTTGAAAATGATTACAGCTGGTAAGCTAATATAATCTGAACATTTCAACATAGTGGCCATCTTGAATTTTGGCAAGCATGTTGGATATGCAAAACCTAGATCCGATGCTTGAATATAAATAATTATGCACTACCATAATTTTAAATTGGTGTTATTTTATATTGTTCTGTAATGACGACAACAGCTGAAAACTATTACATTCTGCAAAATTTTAATATGGCGGCCATCTTGGATTTTGGCAGCCATCTTGGATTTGCACAACCTGGATCCGAGACTTGAATATATATAAATGTGTAATAAAATAAAGTGGTGCTATTTCAAACTGACCTGTAAAGAATACAGTTGAAAAAACTTTAATATTTTGAAAAACATAATAAATGGCGGCCATCTTGGATTTTGGCGACCATTTTGGATTTGCACAACCTAGATCAGAGGCTTGAATATTAATTAATCTGTAATATAATGAACTGATGCTTTTTCATACTATTCTAGGTATGACTACAGCTGAAATACCCAAATATTCTGAAAATTTTTATATATGGCGGCCATTTTGGATTTTGGCGGCCATATTGGATTTTTAAAAAGTGGATCCTAGGCTAAAATGAATTGAAATACTATTTCCTGCCACCATGCCAAATTTCATGCTTTTCACAAGAGGTGCACAATTCACCCTATTTTATGCACGGATTTCTTGGAGTACTACCAACGCAACTGAACAAAACAACTGTCGTTCTGTAAGCAAGCCGGATAGATTCTCACTTTAAAGATTTATCAAAAGTTCTTGGCTGAATTTTCACACACATAGGTGAGGGCCAAATCTGAAAAAATGTCTGTTGATCAAAGTTTATTTATATAATAGGCCCCTTTTTAACCTAAATACATTCGTAAAGCTGTAATTAGAATGTAGAATCAATAATGTTAAATTTTGTGTATTTTGATTTTTAATATGCTTTTTAGGCTCTCTATTTGCACTTCGTTTTCCTATATTTTGATATAGACATTTAACTGCACTGCATTTCTCCAAAAAGTGAAATGTTCTTCTTGTATCTCTGTCAAGGAGAATATTTTATCTGCACATTCATTAGAATCTTATTTATCATATAGTTGAAATTACTCGCTTCAAATAAAAGCAGTCATTATGTCTATATATGTTGGTTTACATTTTACAACATTGGCTATGAATCATTGTAAATAAATGTGGGTGGAAGAAGACATCTGTCATATGTACATAATTATTTCTGTTTACAGCATAATGCATATCATTATATCATACTTATTATCATGGTATACTCCAGGGTGTCTTAGATTATGTTTTAATTAAAGGAAATTGGAACTATGCGCCAAAATGTTCACGACCTCATGTCTATTTATGACGTAATTGACCTATCGTGTCTCTTTCACCTGTCAATTGTAAGTATATTCCTAATACTAGTTCATTGTTTATCACAAATATTACATGAAATTTCACATCCCTGCGTTAACTCTCATTTTTTACCAAAGGAGGATATCAAATTCACATAAAGCTGTTGGAGGCAAATGAATACGCTCACATATACGCGTTTATTTGAAATATTAATATTAATTTTAGCATACATATATTGTCATACTTTAACAAGTTAAACACAAGTGCCACTTTAACTTCGACCTTAATCTTGAAACTTAACCATTTTGATGTGCTCGTTCAATCTCATATAATACTTTTGTACAAACTCAGTCTTATTAAAAGATAGCTGTGCATATAATCTTTTTATCTAAGCATTTTATATATGCACTTAGGTTTCATTCAATTTCATCTGTTTTACTTTTGATCAATAACTAATTCTTTTAATCAATAACTACGGCACATGGAACAATTGATATAACGACAGTTTCACCTATATTGAGCAGTGATCACCTAGAGATAAAAGGTGTAGTAAAGTTGATTTCCAATGATGTATCGATTAATTGTTATAAAAGCGTATTCCGTTGGCATTCATGTGAACCTTTCCCACGATATATTTACGATAATTTAAAATAATTACTTTCTACTTTATTGAATCCTTGACAAAGGCCGACATTGGTACCACAAAGAAGCATTGCGCTCCCTCTGTCCTTTTTCAATAAAGTTTTCTCGGAAACAGTGCTCGAAAGAAAACACAATAACGATACTACTGTCCATATATTCCTTCATTATAATTTATTTGTTTATTTCTTAACTGTCAAATTACAAAGAACAGTAAAACCTAAAGTCGCAGGTCTTTTAACATTTCTTCTAAAACATGTTGTTTTATTACACTTTTTTCCGATCCAGGTTATCGAACGTTATTGTTGTGTTGTTTGTAGCTGTTTAAAGTTTCTTTTACATGATTATTTTTCTTTCTGTGTGGCACCAGTATTCATTCCTACTTGACAACTGTACAGGCACTATATAAAGTACAGGCTTATAAATTTGTCGTTTAACGACTTGTGTAAATTTGCACGCTTCTTTTTTTTTTAACCCGTTGCAAAATTCATTTTTGTTTAGTTCCTTTAGATCTTTTCTGGTTTAGGACACACGCATTCTTACACTTGAGGGCCATGGCCGCTTTTCATGATATATGACGCTAAAGGTAGCCTTACTGTAATGCTTTCCTGCCAAAAATATAACATTGGCCAATATTGTAACAAAGATTTGTTTCAAAATCTTGGGCATTAGATTATTTAAAATCCCTCATCTTTTATCGCTTTGTATTAAATCCGGTTATAAGCGATTAAAAATGATTAAATACCAAAGATTGTGAAAAATAATTATATTTTTGTCTCTGTCTTATGGTGTACATATTTTTCTTTATTTTAACTGAAAAAATCGTGATGTCAATAAAACAGCAAGTAGACATTGATCGTTAATTTTATTATTATGACCGTGGCAATGTAAAAATGAATGTAAGTTTGGCTAGAATACAACTGAATTAAAACATGTAAAGTCATATTATATTATAATGATTAGACAAGAAGTGTATGTATTTCGACCTGCTTATTCATATAAAAATTCTAGAGTGATGTTTACCAATGTTATTTTTCAAATGAGTGTATGTTTACGTAAGTTACTTTGCAAATTATTGCAATTTTAGATCCGTCTATTATTTTACACACGACGTTAATGGAAACTTTAATGACCCGGTCAACATTTGGTATCTTCTATTATCAAAGAAACATCCGTCATTCATTTATAAACAATTATTTTCATACACTATTATCAGTATAGTGTTGTTGAAACTCTTTTGACTTATTTATTTACTGCTTGGAAAACTCATCAGTAAATGGAATTATATGACAATTATCATATCACTGGTTTGAAGTATACCCAATAGATAGGGAGCATCAATGAGTTGATTTTACATCGTAGGCGTGGTGTATTTTATCTCATGTTTCAATGACTTATGTGTGCATTTATCAAATGATCTTAATAAACTTACAATAAAGTACAGCAAATAATTGCATTTCTATCACTTGTTTGTACGACAGAGAACGTGAAGGGACACACAACTATCAAATATATCATTTGCATATAAGATAAAGCTGCTCGTGAGTTTGCGAATAGTAGTTGATATGTTTGAGGCATTTTAATTTGTAGATTGTATGCATACATTTGTGGTAGCTAAAGGTGCAAGGAAAATGAATGTGTCTTATGGCTTGAGAATATCATAATTGTATGAAAAAAGGTTGGCATTGTTAATCGCAACTTAATTCAGACATCATTTTAAATTTATAAGCTATATTTTCATCTAGTCTATACTAAATTTGTCTATATAATATCAATGAAATTTCCTGATAGTGACAAAAGTGCATGATTTTCAACTTATCTATATCTCTATCATATGTATGCATTTCAAAGTTAGGGCATTTTATCGACATTTTTACATATCACACCTTTACATATTGTAATTGTACCTTTCATAGGTCAATGATACAGTGTTACCTGAATCGATGTTTTATCTGACGTCAACAATGTTGACATGTACGTCAGGCTTGATTGACATTTTAAATAGAAAATTATGAATGCATTTAACAGAGCTTTTTTTTTATTTCTTCTTTCTTTTTCTTTTTTTTTTGTGTGTTAATTCCACTATTTCCATAACCCTAACATGCTGGAACCGAAGGTGACTGCCGTTCCATCCCGTATAGGGCAAGGTCAGCAAGTACATTTATTGTGCAGTCTCACCAGGTTTTATATTGTTGTTAGCTCAATTTTAGTTGTTTTATGAAATATTTCGTATGACCGTTCCATATTCAACCAAAGTTCGACAAACCCATTATACTTGTTTAACAATTTAAGTCTTGTTTACAAATCCAATCCAATATTATTAGGGAACAGGAATATTTTAGGGCACACGAGCATACTTAAATAAGATAAAGTCACTCTCAACAATTGGTACATAAAAAGAAACACAGCTGTAATCTATTGAAATAGTGTCTTCATGGAATTTAATAATATTTTAAGTACGATGTATACTCCTAAACATAAGCTGACCAGAACCGTTTTAATTGCTCTAATTAAAAAGACATATTGTGTGTGTCTATTTATGTAAAGTCATTCGACCAAACATTGTGATGTTTTTATCAAAAGTGTAATTAAACGCTTAAAACAACATGTACTAACTAATCTTAACATTTGACGACAAAAATAAGTAGTTTTATTTCCTTTTAGGTAACCCTATGCAACAACTTTAAATATACTTTAAGTATACATTTTTATCAAAATATATATTCCTTCAGACCATGCTTTAAATGGTTTTTACATATCTTATCAGAATGTTCCATTTTGAAAAGAAGGATTTGGATAATAGAATGTTCTGTTTCAGCAAGAGAAACGCCCTCTATAAATGGTTCTAGCGTTGTTAAACCTTGCAAGCCAATGTTGAGTTCCAATCCTAAAAAGAAATAATTCATAGATTAGAAATAAGGTTGATTCAGTGTAATGAACAAACTAAATTAAAATAACATTCAAAATTATCTTAATGTGTTAGTTCCTATATAATTTTCAATAATAGGTTTATTGTTTACAAAAATATGTCCGTAACATAATCTCATCATACCAATTTAAAAGTAAATGGTTAAATAGAGAACTTAAATGTGTATAGATTCATAATTATGTAAACATTTTGTTTTCAAATTGAAATGTCTGGCTAAACACCTCACAGAGAATATTATATTATAATATTTTTTTTATATTTTGGTACAGAATACCGTTGTATCTTAGCAGCTTTTGAAAAAAACACACAAATATACCTGTATTAAAGTTACATGATCTTGAAGCATCGCCCTCTGTTATGATAAAGAGATCACAGTCTTCTATGTAAACAACATTTTCGATCTTCTGTGACAGTTTAATTTCATACAATCTTGGACTAAACTTCATGTTGTTGAGGCAATATGAGTCACTTATACTCGCTTCGTCTGACAGTTTGTAAGTATTGAAACATTTCAGAAATATATTTCTCATCATCTGCAAAAGCAAACATTGTTTAAGTTATCATGTTTGTAATGTTGAAATCTACATGCACTTTTAAATGAAAATGAATTAAAACAATATACCATTACCAATAATTTATGACTTTAATAAACAAATATTACGTTTGAATAATCAGATTTGGTCTTAACAAGTATTAAAAACGAAAGCATTGCAACATGACATTTATTTTTACAATATCTTTGATATTTTTTCATTGGATACATCCGGTCAGAAATGCAAAAAAATATATAGATGTAGAGATGGCAGACTTTAAAAATATCTTACCGATTTATCTAATACTGTTCTTAAAACCCTGAAAACATTTGAATCACATTTGTTAATTGCTAAGGCTAAATGTCTATATTTTGTGTTTCCAAAAACCTTCAAAGTAAACGGTGAACCTCCATTGTCCTCAAAGGCAGAAGGATTGTACGCCGATATATCGAAGGAAAGATTATGAACACGTTTTTCAGGTGCTGGTACTAGTGTTTTATTGTTACGTTCTAAAGATGCAACAGCTCCGAATATTCCACTTGGATGAATTATACATTCATCACTAAGTCCTAAAGTAATTGGTGCAAGTCCTGAAGATCCGTCGCAACATATTACCAACTTACGTCCAGATATTTGATCAACTATGTCACTGCTGTCACGACAAAACTAGAATAAAGACAAAAACGATTATACAAGCGTTCCAAACATTAGGATCGAAAAAAAAGTCAGTTAATCTTTCACTAGAATTCTACATTATAAATAATATATTTTCGTTGTCAGAATCATAATTGAAACAATTTTCTAGGGTCAAAAATTTACTTGTTTATTATTTCAAAATCATATCATATTTCATAATAAAGGGTTAAAATGGTGACCTTTTTGACACAAAAATCAGATCTTTCTAGTGTGATTTAATAAGCAATTATTAGTCATCTAGCAGGAAATTGGCTATTTCCCTTGATTTAACATATTTATATTTAAAGAAAAGTACAAAAAAATACAAATATATACGAAACATATTGTTACCACACTGGTAATACATTTAGCCCTGTACAATATCTTTTTCTTTGCAGTAATTAAAGACGCATGCCTTATGAAAAAATATTTAAAAGTAAAATATTGTAAAGTGAGCTAAAAGGTTACCTTCACATTGCAAACAATATTTACATTTCGTGTAAATTACCAGAAAGAAGTAAAAATATGCAACAACAGACTTTATTGCGTTTGTTACGCAGTAATAATATGGTGATAAATACTTCAAAATCAGTTATAAATCCTATAACATTATTTATTGAATCTGCCTTAAAATCTTAGTAAATTTTTCTCAAGATTGATTTCTTGAATTATTTTGGGTCATTTTTGTAACTAATTACTGAAAATTGCCATTAGGCGCTTTTGTACCTTGTACTAAGATACATTTATATGTATGTGCCGATTTCAATCACTTGAGTGACTATATGGTAGAAGTTTATTATACAGCGTGTAATGTAAAAAAAAACACAAAAGAGACGACATTGCTTATCTCATTAAAAGGTCCCACTATATGAGATTTTCATACATTGATAAGTTCAATACTGAATTATGTGGGACTAGTTCATAGCTGTCAGACTTGTGTCGGCGCTAGCTGGGTCAGAATAATATATAGATTTTGCAGATGTGTACGAGTCCAAAAGAATGAGTGTTTGGACTCCTGAAATGAAATCGAGGCTGTATGGGGTAAGCCAGTTTGTACATTTGATTTGGAATTGGTGGGCTCTGAAAAATTCAAATAAGGCTACTAACAAAGTGAGGACTGGATGTCATTACGATTTCTTTACAAACATCACAAAAGCCTAAAAGTTCATTGGTTTTATATTTTTATGAATTATATATAAGGAAATGTATTAGGTTTTTAAATTATTTTGCTGAACTTGTTAAGACATATTGAAGGCATTAATTCCACTTACCTTTGTGCCAAATTTCATTTCGATGTCAGTCGCATAAAGTGGTAAAATGTGTAATATATATTCGAGGTATATTCCAGCCCGTGTGTAAAAGCATCCATCTTTCCATAAACCTTCTAAGTTGTCAAAATCAACCCCATAACTTCTAAGAAATGACACATATTGGGATTGTATGGTTATCTGATACATTCTTTTTTCAACGTTGGATTTTGTATGTTCCTCATACAGCACTAGTTTTTTTACACGAGTACACTGAACAGCTATAAGTGCTGAAGTCAAACCTATAGGACCAGCTCCTATTATTATCACTGTTGATTGTGCCATGTCTCTGCGAATTTTGCTGGACACAATTTTTGTTCCCATAAAAATAACCACAGCAGAAATGGTAATCAAAAAGTACACCGAGATATCCATATAATTTGCGTGCATGATTCGCGCAATTGTATCCTCGTCACATGTCATTGTTGCCATCCGTGGAAATTTATTTCTTCATTCTTGTTGCATCTCATGAATATAAAATAAGGCTCATGCATAGCATTTAGTGCTATTATCTTTTTTATGAACAAGCCTGTAATCAAACAGTTTCTATTCCGTCTGAATGTATTTAAATTGGAATAATTCTTGCAAAAACATAGAACCCTGAAACTCATTGGATCCACTGCTGAGAACTTTGAATTCTTTCATTTGACATTCTGTAGGAACAAAAGGAGCAAAATATCATTTGCTTCATTGTTGTCTATACTATATGTAAAAGGAATGATTTAAATAAAACCTGACTTTTATAAAGAAATGTAAATATCCATTTAATATAATAATTTATTATATTAAATACAGGGACACATTTAAAAGGAAATATGATTAAATTGTAAGGATAATCTTACAAAACAATGCAATTATCTCATTCAAATCACAACATTAAATTGCTTTCTGAAATATTTTAACCTATTTCTATAAAACTGTTGATCGCGAATCCTTGTTCATTAAACATGTGTTTTTTTATCTTCATTAATTAAGTTTTATTTTTTTTAATTTCCATTCATTCATTTTAATTACATGAAAACTATTTTGTTAAATCCGTAAAATATATCCTCCATTCGTAATGTAAATATCCGTATGATATAAATATCCGCGGACGTTTGCATACTGAACGCGTTCACTATCTGAAAGCAACTGACTCTAACATCGATGGTTTTAACAATATCCAATACTAGCAATCCTACTCTTGACATTCAGTAATGTTTTATGCATTTCATCTAACAGGAAAGAAAACTTTAGTGTGAAAACAATCCCGACGACATTTTTCGCTAATTTATTTATCTTAATTTATTCTTTACCAATTCACCTTTGTTTATCATTCGCAAAGTTTATTATCGAAGTATCAATTGACAAAGGAAGTAAATTGATGTATCTATACTTATATTTGTAAGAATTGTAAATATGTTGTACCAACGTTGTTAACTATTTTGTGGTTTCAGCGTCAACACTAAATACATAAAAAAAATCACCATAACACGATGTTTTGTTCCATATTAAATGGGAACCAATCACGATCTTGTTTTCGCCCCTTGTAAGTAAATGACAAGACATTTATAACAATATTTTTGTAACAAAAGATGCATAAACAAGTGCTGTTTAAATCATTAGAAATGCAGTTTATATAATGAAGTCATTTTTTTTCAATTGTGTTACATGTATTTGTATTAAATGAGTTTTCTATTTTTCTGTTAATTATAATGATGGCATATAAAAATATAAATTAAATGCTTCCTGCAAAATGAGTCCTGTCTATTTCTTTTTGTGTTCATTTCATTTCAATCCAACATCAAATGATCGTGATACGACACACATTTGGCTTGGAAGAAATTTCCTTTTCTGAAAAAGAAAATATTAAGTAAATAAGAAATAAATAAATAAGTATTTAACGTCTTATCAACATCAAAATATTGATGAATAACTATATATTACGATATTAACCCTGCATTTGTCGTATCGAACTTTTCATAAGCTTATGTCTAATTTCAAATGAAATGCGCATAGCATATATAAATAAATTCCAATTATCGATACTCCCCTTCCTATGATTATTATCCTTTCTTTATAAAATAAGTACATGTAACAATTAAAACCTATGACTATTAACATGTACTAAAGACGTTACCGAAAACTTTAACTAAAGCTATCTAAATAGTTTATTTATATTCATACTCATTGTCCACTTAGTAGTTTAACATCAATTATTGAATGAAAGTAGGCAAGTCATGATATATCTAAAGTATGTCACACAATTTACAGGTACATTGTACATTGCAAACCAAAGATTTCTATTGAATTTGTTTTTAGCGATAACAAAAGAATCTAGTTTAGCGATTTAAATATTTATTTTTGTCAAAAGCAACCTTTCTCTTGATTTTTGGTACAAACATGTTTCGTTAATAAATACGAAACGCTTCATCAAGTTCGACAATTGCTGTATTTTTATTCAGGCTTTATTTTACCTGACCTGTCCTGACACTTGTTTCTTCAAGGTTTATTAAGTTTTCTTGAAATTAATAAATGTACCAAACGAATATTATTATAATGCACGGAGGGGCACATAAGGTTTTCCTCAGCTAGTGATACTGAAAAATCGCCATATGACATTTTAGTGTTGGTGCGGCTTAAAACTCAAACAACCAAGTACCATGCTGACATACTAGGCATTCTAGATTATAATTTGATTCACAGTTCGTCGTATATTGTTATGCTTTTCAAGAACTAAACTTTATTGGTATTTTATGCTTGGATTTAACCCCGTTAATTTATAAAGCCTTTAAAATCACATTCTCTGCAAACATTCAGCTAAAATGACAACGGCAGCATATATTGGTACCTTAATATACAACGGAGTGCATAGATCTTTCTCTGCACCTAGTAAACTATCTTTTCCTTTGATATTTCAATGAGTTGAATACTTCAATGAGTCTATATATCCTGTCTAACAGTAGAACAATATACAAGGTGATTTATACTTTAATATTTAACTGTAGGTCTAATATCGACTTCCTTTGATCTGCTTATTCAATAATAATTAGATTCTTTAATCTTTTCGAGTATTTAAATTTTACAACAGTTCGCATTCTTATATCAGTTAACTTCTACAAGTTGAAACGTAAGGTATTCACGATTGTCATGCGGCAGAATCGAAGGTGTTTATATTTTCGAGTTTTTAGTTTATTTAACAACACGTGTGTTAGATTAATTTACATCAATATTGAGAAGAAAGGGTCAAGTAAGTTCATATTCAAGATGTTACAGTGTTGTTATAATATAAAGTTAGTGTCTATGAGAAATATAGAATTAAACTTTTACATAAAATAATAAAACGCTCGATGCAAATAATAAATAATCACATTTCGGAAGTACTTATAAAGTTATCTCTTTACGCGCTGTTGCTATATGCCTATATTTGAGGCCATACTAAGGATTGATTGCGTGATTTGTGGGTGTGGAAAGGTGATGATACTAAAAAAAACACAGCTCGATCTGTAAAAACACCATCAGACTATCGTTGGTAGATTAAACGAATTCGTGTATATGGCGTTAATTTGACGGTTTCTTAACTAACACATCTTTAAACTTAATTTAGAAATACGTTAACTTTATTTTATAAACAATCCGTTCATTTTACAACGCAGTAGCTAAATAACTTTTTCTGAAAATACTAATTGAATCTTGGCTCTCTATAATGAAAAATAATACTAGTATACTATGCATAAATTTATACCAATAGAATAAGTTACATTACGACAGGTCATCGAAGTATCCTTTGTTGTAGTTTCACTAGATTTTAAATAATTTTCATTGCTTGTAACTTATTCATGTAAATAAAAGCTATTTATTTGAAATATAACTATTAGAAATAGCAAGCCATGACCAGTGAATCTATTAAAGGTTGATAGACTCGTTTACATGGGTACCGAAATAAACATTTTCATTTAAAATGGAACACCGTGTCATTTTGTTACTCCTACAACATGTATTGATAATTTATATTCATTATCAATCAGGCAACCCACCTCGTTTAACATAATACATGTATAAGTAAAACTGTTGACGTCAGAATAAAAACTATAATTATATATGCACAACAAGTATTGTGAGATTCATGATAAAATGATCTACAGCAAAACATATATGTATATGATATATATATCTAATATAAAAATTACAGAATATCTAAAGTGCTTACCTTTATGATTGTATAATATACTCTGTTAGAACCCTACACAAATCAAGTTCCCCGCGAATTGAAAAAAAAGTATGTGAACTATTTCAATTAAAAGAAAACATATACCAATATAGTCCCTTGTCCTTTTACATTACAATAGTAATGATAAATAAAAAACGAAATAATACATTCCAATGTGTTCATGTTGTGTAAGTCATTACGTTTATGTATCACATTGCAAATGAGCTTATCGAATTACCTAAACCTTATTAATAGGTAAATCCCGGCGTCGCTGTCGAAAAAGTGTTAAATTACATTGTAAATGAAAACAAAAGATAAAGTATGAAAAGTGAAACCTAGACGAACGACGATAAAACTACGTTACATGTCAAAGAGATTAAGAACAATTTAATACTTTGAACCTTTTATCATATCGTAATATTTTTGTACTCTTTTAGAGCTCATCTATGTAAAGTGCATTTAAATCTAAATTATTTAAATCTAAATAACCAAATAGCAACACTTTAAACAGATGGTAAATATATTCGTTTTTATATGTCCGTTTAGTAAATTAAAATAAATTAACTTTTGCGACGTTTTTCTTTCTTTATCGGCATTTCTGTCAGCTTTTGCTTCTGACGTATATCTAAACACTTCAATATATAAAGAAACAAACGACCACACGGTTGGCTTTCTTGTAAATCAATTCAAAGAATACAAACACATTTAAAGCATGTTCATTAGCCATAAAATTCGTTTAATTGAATATAAATCTAGGAAAATATAAACAAAAGTATACATCTATAAAACAAACAGGAATATTAATGTAAACCGAAGCTTCTGTGTCTGCTGTTTGAATGAAAATTTCTTGTTTTATTCTACCAGATAAAAAATGGCCTTTTCTTTGCATAATCCTTATATTTCTGCTTTGAAACACTCTAAATTGCAAAATTATAAGAGCTGGGGGTGTCGCGGGGATTATATGACTTTTACTTAATAAAGGTCGTGGTGCGACACAGGTTAATTCAAAAAAATATGAGGACAAACATATTACATCGTTATATTTTATTATATTAAGTTGCATCCTGTTGCAGTATCCGGATCCTAGTTTGCTGTAAATTACTTTAAAGCTATAAACCTAGTTGTTGTTTTTGTAATGTCCGGCTTCAAAAATCGTCTCTGAGGCGTAAGTTCATAAAGGAGCTCTTTGAATAGTCAGCATAGGGAAATAACTCTTCCAAAAATAGCATTCTAATATTGTTGACATTATTGTTTTAGCAAATATAAGAAATTCGAAAATATATCAGATAGTTCGTATATGCGTATGCACCCAAACGATGATGATAAAGCAAACTTCAATATAAATCCGACTACCTTGATGCCGTACTAAAAATATAAGCGTGAATTTTTTTATTCGACATGGTCATATTCTATTTCATAAAATAACAAGGTTGTGTTACTTTGTTGGACTTACATAACAATTATTATTACAATAAAGTATAAATAATGAAAAGACAGGATAAGAATAAATAAATGAAATATTGCATCAGAAATTCTAATTTTCATCAGACCTTTTTCCCTTGTGTATAGCTTCTGTCAGACATTTGTATGATGTTTTGATTTAGAGCTATGTTAAATATCATCCGATATATGAATAAATAACAATGCCACATGACAAGATTGATTCAATATGATGCATTTTGGTCCCTATGTTATTTATCACTGCTCGCTTACTTCAATTTGACTTTGATACACTGCTAAGTTGCCAATAACAGTCCAATTGTCAATTGCCAATTAATAAAGTTGAATGACTTTTGAACTAAATCTAGTATATGGAATTTCATGAGCAATGTTAATTAACACTGCTCGTCCAATAATTTAAGTAGTTCCAGGATTACGTCAAGCGGTTACATATTTCTCACTTATCAAATTGAATTTAGTTTTATCTTACTGCGGGTAATAAATAGAGTAAACAAGTATTGTCCATGGTTTGGCTGTTCGATTTATAATTATCCCTTTACTAAGATTTAATCTTGACTTATACTTCAATAGTTCATAAGATTAAAAAGTTATTTAAGATGTACAAGAATATAAAACAGTGTACAATATAAAAGAGGAATGTCCAATCATTCCTGTTTATTATGGCTCTTTTGGTCATTTTAGTGGTTAAACTGGTACATAAAAATCAAGGCAAATTTATATAAATGGACAATTCTTTATTAAAATCATTGAAATATCAAAAGCATTTTTATTAACAGATCAAATATTTACATACACAATTCACATTTCTAAATTAACTTCTTATATATCTAACACTTCTTGGCCACAATTATTCTGCTACTACATATTGTTCGGGCACCGATCATTTTGTGAAATGAAAAATAAATGAATTACTTCATTGACCAGACTAAATCATCAAATTTTTTTTAATCAAAGTTTTAACTAAAAATGTTAGGGCACCGAACAATTTCCAAATTAAAACAAAGATTAACTGACAATAGACCGAAGCATTAAATACAAGTTTTCATTCAAAATGTTAGGGCACCGAACATTTTGCAAATTAAAAAAAGATTTACTAAAGATGGACGCAAGTGTTTAGTCAATGTTTTAACTAAAAATGTTAGGGCACCGAACAATTTCCAAATTAAAACTAAAATTTACTGACAATAGACCGAAGCATTAAATACAAGTTTTCATTCAAAATGTTCGGGCACCGAACAATTTCCAAATTAAAAAATGATTTACTGACGATAGACTTAAGTGTTTAATCAATGTTTTAACTAAAAAATGTTAGGGCACGAACAATTTTCAAATTAAAACAAAGATTAACTGACAAAAGACCGAAGCATTAAATACAAGTTTTCATTCAAAATGTTCGGGCACCGAACATTTTGCAAATTAAAAAAAGATTTACTAAAGATGGACGCAAGTGTTTATCAATGTTTTAACTAAAAATGTTTAGGGCACCGAACAATTTCCAAATTAAAACAAAGATTTACTGACAATAGACCGAAGCATTAAATACAAGTTTTCATTCAAAATGTTCGGGCACCGAACAATTTACAAATTAAAAAATGATTTACTGACGATAGACTTAAGTGTTTAATCAATGTTTTAACTAAAAATGTTAGGGCACCGAACAATTTCCAAATTAAAACAAAGATTTACTGACAATAGACCAAAGCATTAAATACAAGTTTTCATTCAAAATGTTCGGGCACCGAACAATTTACAAATTAAAAAATGATTTACTGACAATAGACTTAAGTGTTTAATCAATGTTTTAACTAAAAATGTTAGGGCACCGAACAATTTCCAAATTAAAACTAAGATTTACTGACAATAGACCGAAGCATTAAATACAAGTTTTCATTCAAAATGTTCGGGCACCGAACAAATTTACAAATTAAAAATGATTTACTGACGATAGACTTAAGTGTTTAATCAATGTTTTTAACTAAAAATGTTTAGGGCACCGAACGATTTTCAAATAAAAACAAAGATTAACTGACAAAAGACCGAAGCATTAAATACAAGTTTTTCATTCAAAATGTTAGGGCACCGAACATTTTTGCAAATTAAAAAAAGATTTACTAAAGATGGACGCAAGTGTTTAGTCAATGTTTTAACTAAAAATGTTAGGGCACCGAACAATTTCCAAATTAAAACAAAGATTTACTGACAATAGACCGAAGCATTAAATACAAGTTTTCATTCAAAATGTTCGGGCACCGAACAATTTACAAATTAAAAAATGATTTACTGACAATAGACTTAAGTGTTTAATCAATGTTTTAACTAAAAATGTTAGGGCACCGAACAATTTCAAAATTAAATCAAAGATTTACTGACAATAGACCGAAACATTAAATACAAGTTTTCATTCAAAATGTTCGGGGACCGAACAATTTACAAATTAAAAAATGATTTACTGACAATAGACTTAAGTGTTTAATCAATGTTTTAACTAAAAATGTTAGGGCACCGAACAATTTCCAAATAAAAACAAAGATTTACTGACAATAGACCGAAGCATTAAATACAAGTTTTCATTCAAAATGTTCGGGCACCGAACAATTTACAAATTAAAAAATGATTTACTGACGATAGACTTAAGTGTTTAATCAATGTTTTAACTAAAAATGTTAGGGCACCGATCAATTTTCAAATTAAAACAAAGATTTACTGACAATAGACCAGAGCAAGTTTAAATACAAGTTTTCATTTAAAAAGTTAGGGCACCAAACAATTTACAGAAGTACAATATACCATGTACAAAATATATAAAAGGGACTTTTTGTAAGCATTAAAGAATTCACTAATGGAAAATTAAGGGCACCGAACATTTTGTAAAATTTCAAAAATTACTTTCTTTATTTCAAATAAGTTTTAAAAATCATAAAAACTTGATTACTTTGAAAAAAAAAATGTTCAGCACTTTTGCGAAATTAGAAACAAAGGCTTAAAAAAGAAATGAATTATTGTAAATCAGTGTTTTAATTCAAAATGTTTGGACGTAAAACAATTAACAAGTTAAAAAAAAAGATTTACTGACAATAGATAGAAGCATTACATACAAGTTTTCATTCAAAATGTTACAGCACCGAACATTTTGGAAATTAAAACAAGAGCATCGCTAGGTGGAACATTATATGCCCAAAAGTGTTTTTAGTAAGGATGAAGCATTTGTAAGACATGGGAATTAAATGTTTTTTCTTAAACAGATGGACAGAAAGACGCCAGGGATATAACATGATATAAGCAAATTTTTTAGGACATATAATTAATGTAATCAATATAAGCTGTAGGTTGATTAATACTCAAGTTTATTGAGCGAAAAACCATTTTCATGACCTTGACTTTGTGACCCAATATTATTAGGGATCTTTTTACAAAATACTGACAATCATCCAATGAAGTTTGAACACTGTGGGCCAAATGGAACTTTAGTTATGCTCAAGAAACCACAATTTTCAGTGTAAGGATCATTGTGACCCTGACCTTTGACCTTTACACCTCAAAGTTAATAGGGGACCTCTACCTAATATGGACAATCATCCTATGAAGTTTGAATATTGTGGGCCAAATGGAACATAAGTT